GGTCATCCCAAATGTCTTTCATTTAAGGATTATGGAGACCACTGTGCTCTTAGGAACCTTAAGTGCAGCAGAGATGTTCTTGTAATTTTGGCCAGATCTGTGCCACAATTCTGACTCTGAGCTCTTCAGGCAGTTCCTTTGACCTCATAATTCTCATTTGCTCTGGCATGGATAGTGAGCTGTAAGGTCTTAAATAGACAGGTGTGTGTCCAGTCAGTGTAATCAAACATAGCTGGACTCCAATGAAGGTGTCACAGCAAAGGGTCTGAATATATTTTTGAATAAATCCACAGAAATTTTAAAAATTCTGTTTTTCTGTCAGTATGGGGTGCTGTGTGTACATTAATGAGGAAAATAATGAATTTAATTGATTTGAGCAAACGGCTGCAATATAACAAAGAGTGAAAAATGTCGGGGTTCTGAATACTTCCGTACCCACTGTGTACACAACAGGACCTCCCACACACTGCAGCTGTGTGAAACTTTATAAATTTCATTTTATCAAACTTAGAGGAGATTTAATAGAAAAATGTCCATGTAAAAAGTTTCATTTTAGTTCCTGTTTATTTCAGCGCTGTATACCTATCTTAGCCCCGCCCACAATTATCGCCTTGGTTAAAACGTGGGATGACCTTCATCCCAACCAACAGTGATGAAGATCTCAGCCCTGCTGTTCCCTAGGGATCCTCTGTGTTCAGAGCCAGTGAGCAACAGTGCCGATGTGTTAATGCATGATAAAATCTCATGGTTAGGTGATGGTTAACATGATTGTAACACATTATATTTATCAGCTTTAGTCATTTTATAAATCGTTACATTGATGGTAATTAAGTATTTGATTAGTTATTGGCAAGCACATTTTTATCCAAGGTTTTTTAACAATTTTTTTATTTAACTAGTTCTTTTAACTATCATCTAGTAGTGGGTTTTGCATGAAATAAATGTTCTGAATTTAATGAAATATAAACTTGAAGTATGTTTAGTTTCGACATCGAACTGTTTAATCAGACTTTCTGGATTAAGACAGTCCTTTACCATAGGTGGGATGCATGTCCAAGGCTAATTTAGTGGGCGAATTTTCCATCTTCTATAGATAAAGATTAGGTGGAAGGACAGATATGTAGTGTCACATTTAGAGGAAGCTGAACCCAAAGTGCAGATACCCAGAACAACAAAGGGAGCGAGTAGTTGAAAAAATAAGTAATCCGTTTATTCTGGAGCGTCAAAACAAAATCCAGAATGCTCAAAATGCTTATGACCTTACTGTCTTTGGCAATAAGAAGGTTAGGATGGATGTTATTGCTTAGCTGGACTCCAGGGGAATAAAGACAAAGACTAAGGCTATAACTAAATTAGTGTTTTAACACCTTCATCAGATATCAAGAGTCAGAGGTCTCATGTCCAGACCAGACTTAGAGAAATGTATTCATGCTTTTATTTCTAGTTGGCTGGACTTCTGCAATGGTCTCCTAACTGGTCTTCCCAAAAAAGCTGTGAAGCAACTGCAGCTCATTCAGAATGCTGCTGCTAGAGTCTTAACAAGAACTAAAAGAATGGAGCACATCATTCCTGTTCTTACATCTCTACACTGGTTACCAGTAAACTACAGAATAGATTTCAAAGTGCTCCTACTAGTTTATAAATCACTCTACGGCATGGGACCAAAATACGTGTCCGATCTCATTCCTGTATATACGCCCAATAGGGCTCTGAGATCCTTAGGAAATAATCAGCTAGTAGAACCTCGGGTCAGAACCAAGCAAGGTGAAGATGCTTTAAACTACTATTCTGCTCACATATGGAATCAGCTACTCCTGGACCTCAGATCTGCCCCAACCCTAGTGTTGTTTAAAACAAAACTAAAAACCCTAACGTACTCATCAGCCTTTAAATGAATTGTTTCGTATGCTGCATTGTCTCCACCGTAATCTCTGATGTAACTGCTCAACCATAATTCTGTGTTATCCTTTTAGCTCTAAATTATCATTTTATCTGTGCATATTTTTAATTTGTGTTCTCGTGTTTGTTGTGTCGTTTAATGCTAATTGTAAAGCACATTGAATTGTCCCTGTGTTTGAAATGTGCTATGTAAATAAAGCTGCCTTGCCTTGCCTAAAGTTATGGAACTGAATACACTGAAAGGCAGGGGATAATTAGAATACCTAATCAAAATGAATGACGCAACAAGGAGGGGAAACGTGAAGGGGCACAGGAGACAAGGACACGGAACGTGACCTGTAGTTAACCATCACTGCTGTGATTATCATCTGTTGACTGGTGTGTTTGTACCTCTTTCAGCAGTCGATGTTGTTGCTATGGTTACGCAGTGCCCCTGTGCAACACACCCAGATGAGTACCTTGATTATTAGCAGCAGCTAACTAATAGTTAGCCCTTCTGGAGCAAACTGGGGCACTACTGACAGAAGTGTCATTTTTTTGGGGGGCAGTAATAAGTAACCATGGAAATGTTTTATAAAGTAGCATTAGCATTATCCACGTAGAAATGTTTGAGATTGTTTTTGACAGGAGCTGTCCTCTTTGAAACAGCAATAGCCCAGGAGGTAGAGTCCAGTAATCAGAAGGTTGCAGGTTCAATCCCAGCTCCCACCAGACAATGCTGCCGTTGTGTCCTTGGGCAAGACACTTAACCCACCTTGCCTGCAGTGGTGGTCAGAGGGACCGGTGGCGCCAGTGCTCAGCAGGCCTGGCTTCTGTCAGTGCACCCCAGGGCAGCTGTAGCTACACCGTAGCTCATCCCCACCAGTGTGTGAATGTGTGAATGGCTGATTGTGTTGTAAAGTGCCTTGGGGGTCTGTAGAACCCTAAGAAGGTGCTATACCAATAATTTGCTTGAACTACTCCAACTGAGGTGGTTCAAAGAGCTACCTACAACAGATCATAATTGTATACAAAGTCTCCTCTGAAGCCCAGTTCAAAGACCTGAGCTATCCCTATATGGCTCAGAAAGCTGCCTGGACAGAGAAGATGAAGGACGCTCCTCGGGGAGATGTTTTATAACGCTTCAGTTTTATAGAAGCTCTCCTGGGGAGACTGGGGCCTATTTGCACACCCTCAGGGTCTTTTTAGACTAAAGAAAGGTGCTAAACTACACCACTACTATTTTAAAGGTTTACTGTTCTTACAGCAATGCAGACTGCTTGGTGCTCTAGAAGTGAAACATGCTAAGGAAATCTAATTAAAATCCAGCTTTAATATTTTTTCTGAGCTAGCTCTTTGCTGTGAAGCTCTATGACACCATTTTAAAGTGAAGTCAGAAGTTTAACTGTTGGGTTTCACTGGAACAGCTTGTTCTACGGGAAGCTTTGACCCCCTGGTTGTTCTTGGCTGACATGGTTGCAATTTTAAAGCCTGAATGCTTTAACATATGGAGCTCAGTGTGTGCTGCCTGTGGCTGCTAGACAGATTAGAGATGTTTAGGTGAGCTCTTGCTTAACAAATCTGGTGCAGCTCAGAAATATGCAGTAAGGAAATGATTTAACCCTCTCAGGCTCAAAATAAGTTTTGATAAAAGGAGGAACAACTAAGTCCTTCAGGGGTACTTCTGAGTTAAAAAATGCTCATGAAATACGTATGTGGAGTAGCCAGGTAGGTAGGTTTTAACGTTGCAAATCTGCAACGCCTGCCTCCAGAGGATTACATTAGGCAAGGCAGTTTTATTTGTATAGCACATTTCAAACACAAAGGCAATTCAAAGTGCTTTACAGAAGCAAGAAAATAAATGAAGACATTAATTTCAGATTTAACAAACAGGTAAAAGGCATAGTCAACGGGTAGCAGTTACAGTGCAGAAGGTGCAGCACAAGAAACATTTATTCAAAGGCTGATGAATAAATGAAGGTTTATAACTTAGTTTTAAAAGTTTCTGGAGTTGGAGCACATTTGAGGTCATGATGAAGCTGATTCCATCTGTGTGCAGCATGGTAGCTAAAAGCAGCTTCACCCTGTTTGGTTCTGACCCGAGGTTCTACCAGCTGACTGTTTACCAAGGATCTGAGAGCCCTGCTGGGCGTATATACTGGAAGGAGATGTACTTTAACCCCATGCCATTGAGACATTTATAGACTGGTAAAAGCACTTTGAAGTCGATGATGTAGTTTACTGGTAACCAGTGTAGAGATTTAAGAACAGGAGTGATGTGCTCGGATCTTTTGGTTCTTGTTAAGACTCTAGCAGCAGCATTCTGAACAAGCTGCAGTTGCTTTACAGCTTTTATGGGAAGACCAGTTAGAAGACCATTGCAATAGTCCAGCCTGCTGGAGATGAACACATTCATTAGTTTGGCTGCATGGCGGCGCCGTTGTTAGCACTGTTGCCTTGCAGCACGAAGGTTGCAGGTTCGAAACTCGACTGCGGCCTTTCTGCGTGGAGTTGCGTGTTCTCCCCATGCATGCTTGGGTTTCCTCCGGGTACTCCAGTTTCCCCCACAGGTCACAACATGGCCTATAGGTTATAAATTGTAAGTCGCTTTGGATAAAAGCGTCTGCCAAATAAATAAACATAACATAGTTTGTCTTGTTTTGACATGAGACCTTTGAGTCTGGTTAACTGATGGAGATGTGACCAGTGAAGCTCAAGTCTGAATCAGTGGTATCACCAAGATTTCTAACCGGAGACTTTGTCTTCATTCCTTTGGAGCTAAGTTGAAAAGTAACTTGCATCCCATCCTTCTTATTTCCAAAGACATTAACTTCAGTCTTGTCTTTGTTTAACTGGAGGAAACTTGATTGCATCCAGTCATTAACTTGCTCTAGGCACGAACAGAGTCTAGGGGACCAGATTCATTAGGCGATAGAGATACGTAGATCTGGGTGTCATCTGCATAACTATGATAGGCGATGTTGTTATTGTTTATGACCTGGCTCAGTGGAAGCATGTAGAGATTGAAAAGCAGCGGTCCAAGACTCGAGCCTTGTGGGACACCGCATGTCAGGGTGATTTGTATAGTTTTGTTTGTGACATTTTTATTGTTTTTGTTTCAGGTCTGGCAGTGTGAGAGATCACTGGGATGAAATATATTACTTTGTGGAGAATTTAGCCGAGAAATTTAAAAGGTAAGAGGTCCTTCATAAATATGTTTGCAATATAATATGCACTCACTGGTCATTTTATTAGGTACACCTGCTAGTTTGGTCCTGCTTTTACCTTCAGAACTGCCTTAACTCCTGCCCCACCATCCCTTTGCTTGGGTGTTTTGTCCTTTAGATGAACCAGTTTTTGTCTGAGAAACGCTGAAGAAGTTTCTCCAAACAAAACATTCTAATAAACTTCAAACCCAACAGCACTCTCAAACAAAAGCGGGTTCATCCAAAGGACACAACAACCAAACAAGCTTAGTGTCATTGCATGCATGGCTCAGTATGGAAAAACCAAACCTAGCACCCACACAAGCTCATACAAAACCCTCTAATCTTCCTCCCCAATACCTCATTATAACTTCTGCATTTGAAACCTCACAATACAGATTTTCTCTTGTTGCATTACTTTTATGTTAAACACCTGGAGCTTTGTGGTCTGCAGATCTGTTCATACTGTGTTCTTGCAACAAATAAACAATTCTCATGGTACTATCTCCCGCAAACAAAAACACTTTGTTCTCAGATACTTGAACATGTGTGTAAACCTTTCTCAGCAGAGTTCACTGATATATAAACATAATCCACATCTGAGGATTCTGAGACTTTGTGCTGCTGTCACGCAAAGCAGGTCCAAGTTCTGCATGCTGGTTCAAAATCATTTGTCACATTCTGTTTTGCAACCATGTCCGTGCCATCTGAATGATGCACAGAATGAGGTTAAATCAGGAAATTTGCAGAATTGCTCTCATTTGGGAGAATAATGCCAAAACACATCAGCGGCCTCCATTATTTTAAATGTGACCCCCACATGCTGCGTGGTGCAGCATTCAGTGAGGTTTGTCCACACATCTCTGTTTCCAGTGGAATGAGTGCTGACTTCCTGTTTGGACATGCAGGCTTCCATAGCAGCTCTTCTCCACTTTTATAGCATTGGAGAAAAAATTTACTTGAGTCTTCTTAAAATGTGAACTCCAGATATTTTAGGCTTCACATTAGGGCTGGGCGATATGGCCTGAAATCAATATCAAGATATATTGAGGATTTCACCTCGATAGCGATAAATGGATGATAACTACAGGTATGCGCAGAAACAAAAGTTGTCCACTAGATGGGGCTGTCACAAGTTTTACATTGAGTCACATTTTTACGTAATTCAAGTTGGTACAGCTTCTTAAAGGCATATGAACATTGCCAACCTACACACACCTTTAAAGTTTTTGTCATCGTCTGTGTTGACATGGAAAAAATTATCTCAATAAGAGTCAGAAATTTCGATAACGATAAATTGCCCAGTCCTACTTCACATAATCAGGAAACAATTGCAAAAGAAATGTTGTGCTTTAAAAATAAAATATGTTGGAAATCTTAGTATACATTTGTTCATAACTCATGAATTCATGTCAGGTTAATTGGAGCCTAAATTGTTGCTCGGTGAGTGTGTGCTCATGTTTAGCAAGCCACACCACAGCATGGTGGTTTGTTTTCACCTGAATTTGGGAAATAAACACAGCTCAGACCACAATGTAATAAATATTCCTCATCATGATTTTTACCTTATTTTAAAGTGATATAAGTGTTTTTCCTTTTTCTTTCCAGTCCCATGTTGAGGATGTCCTTCATAACATTCAACGCCAGATCTACTACCATCATGAAACTGACAGAGAACAGGTACTCCAGGCTGGGTTTGATTGTTAAGAGGAGTATTTTATCCCTTCAATGTGATTAACTCTACTTCACTGTTTCCTCGTCCTGGAAAAGCTGTGTTTTGATTTACACTAATTAAATACTTATAGATCTGGATCAAGCCTTACCTGTATCTGTTCTGCAGAGTGAACATCAAAAAAGGTCTGAATGCTCTGAAGAAAGAGAAACCTGGTGGAGACACATTTATGGGCCTTGGGCTGCAGAGTGTGAGCTCACATTTTAATGAGATAAAGCATATTGCACATATTTTAATTTCTTCTGATAATTAAAAAAAACTATTTTCTCTTTAAGGCAAATGAACAGATTCATAAGGAGAACTTTGGTAAGCACCTTCCTGTCTGATTACTTTCCTCGCAGACTGCACTTTGGGCTTACAGCTCCTTGTTTTCCAGGCACAGCCAGTGTGATCATTGCTCTGACAGATGGAGAACTCCAGGACGAGCAGCTAATTAGTGCACAACAACAGGTAGGAAACTCAACCAGATTACCCAGTTGTCTTGGTTTGACCTCATTAAATATGGTTGTCTGGTACTCACATGGCTTCATCTGCCAACAGGCAGAGGAGGCCAGATCTCTAGGAGCTATTGTGTACTGTGTTGGTGTCAAAGATTTCAACGAGACACAGGTAACCAAGTCTAAAGACTTTTGTTTGTGAAAACAAACCAAACCACATCTACTCATTTGTACGAATGGAAAATACCTAAAAGACACTGAGACTTCACTGACTCCTTGCAAAGTCGAACGCTGCTGTTGTGTCCTTGAAAAACGACACTCAGCCCACCTTGCCTGCCGGCAGTGGAGGGACCAGTGGCACCTGTGTTCGGGCTAGGGAGGGGCCCGCCGCTGCAATGAGGCAGATGAGAGGGAATGGCGCCGCTGACACAAACCAAGTATGCTGGAGAAGAGAATTACTTCTGTATTTTCAGAGGGAAATGATTTCCAGGTTTTAAAATTCCTCTCCTGCAGATTTATTTAGAGCCTATCTAGGTTGCCGCAGTCAGGATTGAGTCATGGTTGCTAAAAACATTACAAGACCGACTGACTATAGTGGTGTAGTAGGTGTAAAATCTATATGATTAAAAGAAACGTGAGCATCTCTGAAGCCGGAAGTGTTGCCATGTTAATGTTCCCTCCAGCTGGTCCAGTAGAGATGTGGCGTTAGCGCGTTCCTGGGACTCCGCTGCCTTGAAACCCCGATGCTGCAGATTTTGGATGGCTTCATCTGGGCTGTTAGCTTCGTAAGTAACGTTACTTAGGTTGTCATCTGTGAAGCTGGAAACAGGTTCACAGCGCAGAGGCACAGCTGGGCGTTTCACTGCATTCAAACGAGGATAACTGTCATTAGTGCTAGAGCTTAATTTGAGCCTGCCTTATAGGATCAGGCAACTCCATTAAGCTAACTTTTTAGCTAACAAGCCTTTAGTCTAGTGCCAATGTTCAAAGTGCAAAACGAGAAAATCAAAGGCAGAAGTGGCCGTGTGCAATTTAGAACTTCCTTGGATTACCTTTATAAAACATTCGCTGTGCTGCAGCAAGAATCTGAGCGGTTCTGGTTCTGTTCCGTGTGCCGTCTGCATCCAAAAATGTCCCTGCTGCACAGAGCCTCAGTGTGTGTGTGTGTGTGTGTGTGTGTGTGTGTGTGTGTGTGTGTGTGTGTGTGTGTGTGTGTGTGTGTGTGTGTGTGTGTGTGTGTGTGTGCGTGCGTGTGTGTGTGTGTGCTCCTCATAGCAGTAAGAGACAGATAAAAATGGCTTCAGTCAGAGGCTCTTCAACTCCACAGCATCCAGAATGATAATAAATTGCTCAAACCAGAAGCCCCTGCGGGCTGATTCTATCTCCCAATCAGAGGCTCGCCCTAATGGTATGCTGATTTTGAGCCAGCCAATCAGCCGGCAGTGGGTGTGTCGGCCCTGTTCGGCTCCAGGCATCAGGAAGAGGGCTGAAAAGACGTCCTGTTGTGCACGGGAAAATCCAAGGCTACCTAAATAAGAACACTCCCAACCCAGTCCATGCGAAGTGGAGCTGATGCTTGTGTGAAAGTGCCATAAGTCACGCCCATCTACTTCCGGATCATGGGACCCCAGAAGAACGAAAAAATGAATGCTAGTTAAAAACACAATTTTCTAGCCTCGTTTGTTATGAGCCATGGATTTCACATAGGACGTCCGATAATAGACACATTCTGACACCACTAAAGTGCTTACTGTGAAAGCGGGGAAAAGTGATTTTAGGATTTGTGCAAAAATACATCCAGGACTACAAATGTGCATTGCCAAATTGACATCATGAAACCAGACACGGAGAAAAGCAGAGAAAAAAACGGCTTTAAGTTCCGCAAACTTTAAATCCTTCCTGCAGGAGGAAAGAACCACAATAAAGTTCACCATGTGGTAAGTAGCAGCTACGCTAGGGGAGAGGGGACTCTGGGGTGACATCATATACAGGTGCTGGCCAGTAAATTAGAATATCATCAAAAGGTTGAAAATATTTCAGTAATTCCATTCAAAACGTGAAACTTGTACATTATATTCATGCAATGCACACAGACCAATGTATTTCCGATGTTTATTACGTTTAATTTTGATATTTATAGGTGACAACCAATGAAAACATCAAATCTGGTATCTCAGAAAATTAGAATATTCTAAAGGCCAATGAAAAAATGTTTGTTTCTCTAATGTTGGCCAACTGAAAAGAATGAACATGAAAAGAATGTGCATGTATAGCACTCAATACTTAGTCGGGGCTCCTTTTGCCTCAATAACTGCAGTAATGCGGCGTGGCATGGACTCAATCAGTCTGTGGCACTGCTCAGGTGTTATGAGAGCCCAGGTTGCTCTGATAGTCGTCTTCAGCTCCTCTGCATTGTTGGGTCTAGCGTATTGCATCCTCCGTTTCACAATACCCCATAGATTTTCTATGGGGTTAAGGTCAGGCGAGTTTGCTGGCCAATCAAGGACAGGGATACCATGGTCCTTGAACCAGGTGCTGGTGGTTTTGGCACTGTGTGCAGGTGCCAAGTCCTGTTGAAAGGTGAAGTCTGCATCCCCATAAAGTTGGTCAGCAGCAGGAAGCATGAAGTGCTCTAAAACTTCCTGGTAGACGGCTGCATTGACCCTGGACCTCAGGAAACAGAGTGGGCCAACACCGGCAGATGACATGGCACCCCACACCATCACTGACGGTGGAAACTTTACACTGGACGTCATGCAACGTGGATTCTGTGCTTCTCCGCTCTTCCTCCAGACTCTGGGTCCTTGATTTCCAAAGGAAATGCAGAACTTGCTTTCATCAGAAAACATAACTTTGGACCACTCAGCATCAGTCCAGTCCTTTTTGTCCTTGGCCCAGGCGAGACGCTTCTTGCGCTGTTTCTTGTTCAAGAGTGGCTTGACACACGGAATGCGACACCTGAATCCCATGTCTTTCATGAGTCTCCTCGTGGTGGTTCTTGAAGCGCTGACTCCAGCTGCAGTCCACTCTTTGTGGATCTCCCCCACATTTTTGAATGGGTTTGTCATCACAATTCTCTGCAGGGTGCGGTTATCCCTAGAGCTTGTACACTTTTTTCTACCACATTTTTTCCGTCCCTTCGCCTGTCTGTTAATGTGCTTGGACACAGAGCTCTGCGAACAGCCAGCTTCTTTAGCAATCACCTTTTGTGTCTTGCCCTTCTTGTGCAAGGTGTCAATGATTGTCTTTTGGACAGCTGTTAAGTCAGAAGTCTTCCCCATGATTGTGGTGCCTTCAAAACAAGACTGAGGGACCTTTTAAAGGCCTTTGCAGGTGTTTTGAGTAAATCAGCTGATTAGAGTGGCAGCAGGTGTCTTCTATATTCAGCCTTTTCAGAATATTCTAATTTTTTGAGATACCAAATTTGGAGTTTTCATTAGTTGTCACTTATGAATATCAAATTTAAATGTAATGAACATTGGAAATACATTGGTCTGTGTGCATTGCATGAATATAATGTACAAGTTTCACGTTTTGAATGGAATTACTGAAATATTTTCAACCTTTTGATGATATTCTAATTTACTGGCCAGCACCTGTATGCGACGACCAGATGTCTGATTCGTAGTCGTGCTAATTACGAACTTTTACAAGCGGATACATCTCAAAGTACGTGACAGGTGTGGTTGAAACACCCATTATTAGTTTTCATTTAAATTGAAGTGAAACAAATGTGCAATTCAGGTAAAGTGGATTAGAAAATAGCTTTTAGCCCCATTGACTTGCATTCATTTTTTTCTTTCCAAGTCTCCCGACAGAGCCTGAGTAGATAGACATGCAGGAAAACTCCTGTTGCTTCTTCTATGGTCTGTTTAGAGTTCTAGGCTAGGAGTGATGCCCACAGAGCCCAGACCTCAATGCCATTGACAATCTATGGCAGATCTGTGCAAGCTTTAGGTGAAAGTTCATGCTCGAAGAACACAAAGTCTAGATAAGTTGGAAGGCTTTGCCATGGAGAAGTGGCCTCGTATAGAAACGTGTCACTCTAAGAGCAGTAAGGAGATCAACAGCTCAGAACTATTCCTGACATTTTTACAGGCAAACAGTCATTACATGCGTGTGGCTGGTGTCCAACCACTGAATGTGTTAGAGCCTGTATCGACTGTTGAAAGGAAACCAGGAACTCATGAGGAATTTTGTTGAGATTAACTTTTAGCCTTTTCTCTCCTTCCTGTATGTCTTTGTCTTCAGCTGGCGACCATTGCAGACACCGTGGAGCACGTGTTTCCGGTGCTGGGAGGCTTCCACGCCCTAAGAGGAGTCATCGATTCGGTAAATTACACAAACAGCTATATTCATCCAACTACCCCAAAAAGTAAACCTTTTTTCTAGTAAGAGTCTAAGCCTCCACATAAAGTAGGTATTTACAGTATTAGTGTGCAGAAGAAGCTTTGGCCCACAGAACTGTACCTGTGTGTTTTCTGGACTCGTGGAACACACAAGAGTATTCAGAGTTCACGTCAGCTCACAGCAAACAGAGCCAGACATGTTATACGCATCAGGTCACACACAATCACTGCTGTTCTCCTGTGTGAAACGTTTAGTCAGGATGAAGACATCCAGTTCTCCCACTGCTACTTCTTGCTTTTTTAATTTTAAGCATTGGTAAATAAAAGAGCTGATTGTTTTTATGAGTTTGTTTATTCTGGCTGAAAAATAAGATTTTACAAGTTACATACCAAGCTCTTTAAGGTTGGGAGCAGTGGCGGTTTTACCATTAGGCATAGGTCGGCAGCTGCCTGGGGCCTCCTTATGTGGGGGCCCCCCTAGCCCTGACCGCCGGCACCCCTCTGTTAATGCCACAATGGACCATTCCTTTAGGACTGGATGCACAAACAGGAAGTGATTGGTAGTCATTCCAGTCCAATACAGTTGGTGGCAGTAATGCACCAAATAGTTGTTTGCTAAGTTCCATAAGACCACAAATAAGAAGAAGAAGAGAAAGCAGAAGAAGAAGAAGAGAGGCGGGAGCGTTCGTAACAAACTCGAAGCGGTAGTCAAAACATGAAGCATGACATGGAGTTATCCTAGTGGCTCCAATAAGAGAAAGAAGCAGCTTGCTTTAAAAAACTTTTATCTTCACTTCCAAAAGTGACGTTGTTTTTCTATGTAAACATCAAAAGGAAACAGAAAGGAAAGACAATGGAAAATGTTTAAAGGAAAGAAAACAGACCAAAAAGGAAAATAGAAAAAAAAACAAAGGCAAAAGCACAGGAGCACTGACAGGAAGAAGACAGCAGAGCAAATATTGAAGGCACTCAAAGGGAGGCAAAGACAGGAAAAAGAGGAGGACTAATATAAAGGGAAAATAACTCATGTCAGAAGAGGGGAGAGTTTCACTAGTCCAGTAAAAGATAAAATTGTTGAAAATTTAGTGTAAGGGGGCCACATGTCTGTGTTCGCCTTGGGCCCCCAAATTGCTAAATCCACCACTGGTTGGGAGGAATTTATTCTGCAGCACTTAAAAATATATATTTAGTTTTAGCTTTTAGTTTTCATACATTGATGACCAATAACATCGTCCTGTTAGAGTCTGGGCAGAAAGTAGAGATTTTAACAAACGTAGCACATTTTGCTCTCACGCATTCCATGACAGGAATTTATTAGGCAAGCTTTGTAGTCAGTTTTTTATTTTATTTTATTTTGTGCAATCAAATCACACGAGAGTGCAGCTGTCTGGTTTCTGTGAACTTTATGGGAATTGACCATCAGCATCACTGACTTTGACAATCATTGGTCCTTGAGCCACATGTTGTCCTCTTCTTTGCCACACCGCTCAACAAACAAGGGCTATATTGGATTTTTCCTTTTCCCAACCATAACAGTGTAGTTACATTCTCCTAAGCTGACTGAATTGTGTAATCACAGCTGTGTTTACCTGCATCAGATCATCAAGAAATCCTGCATTGAAATTTTGGCAGCAGAGCCCTCAAGTGTCTGTGCAGGAGGTGAGTAACTGGGAAAAACACTCTTTTCATCAAAATGGGTCCCTGCTGAGTCATCAACATGAAAGCCATCATTCCATAATTTCCTAAAATGTGTTCATTTCATTAGGAGGTGCTTAGGTTTGCTTCTTTTTTATGACAAATCCAGATATGAATGTGCATATATGTGGGCATCCAGGTCGCTTAGCGGAAGTCTAATGGGACAGGACACTTAAATGGGAATGATATGGCAGGCTGCTTTAAGGGAATGAAATGGCTCCACTTATAGGAGGTGAAATGTCACGTAGAAACCCTTTAGTGCAGTTTTAGCCTTTGGTTGGTGGACAATAGTAAAAAAAGGAAGTTTAAAGGCTTGATCTTAAGTATCAAGGATAATAATGCACATGTGTGTGTGTGTGTGTGTGTTTGTGCGTGCGTGCATGCGTGTGCGTGTGCGCGTGCGTGTGCACATGCATGCTCGTGTGTGTGTGTGTGTGAGCAGAATCCTTTCAGGTGGTGGTCAGAGGGAATGGATTTCTCCATGCTAGAAACATCGACCAGGTGCTCTGCAGTTTCAAAATCAACGACACCATCACAGTCAGTGAGTAGGCCTGTATCACAGTTTCTGTCTGTGCTTCATTCTACAATAAGAAGAAAAGACGTTAACACGGAGGCACTCAGAAAGGTTTGTCAGGGAACTACTGGTGAGGATAGGTGCTACGTTACTTCAATATTTAGGGCTTCTCCATGCATCGTTAAAGACATTTTCAGGTGTGTTTCTGTGTAGAAGTTCCAAACTAAAATATGGTGCAAAAGTTCTTTTACCACGCCCGGCCAAGAAAAGTCTCCACCTGGATTTAACTAAGCAAATAGGTAGAAGCCTCCTATTGGATAATTACTACATGAGTGATCATCTTTCAGCTGCAACAAGTTACTGGTTTAATCAGCTGCTTCTCGTTTCCTAAACAACCATGTAGAAAAACACATCTGGTGGTCATGAAAAAGATGTTAGTCTGTGTGAGAAGGGTCAGATCATTTGCATCAAGCAGAGAAAACCTCTAAGGAGATGCAGAAATGACTAAAACTGGGTTAAGAACTGTCCAATGCATTATTAAAAACTGGTCTGATGAGTCCAGATGGACTCTGTTCCAGACTGATGGTGCATCAGGGTAAGAAGAGAGGCCGATAAAGTGATGCACACATCATGTCTAGTGCCTACTGTACAAGCCTGTGGAGGCAGTGCTATGATCTGGGGTTGCTGCAGTTGGTCAGGTCTAGGTCCAGCAACAGGATGTTCTCCAAGAATGAGGTCAGCTGACTACCTGAATATCCTGAATGACCAGGTTATTCCATCCTCCTGATGGCACGGTCATATTCCAGGACGACAATGCCAGGATGTATCAGGCTCAGAAACTGAAAGAGTGGTTCAGGGAGCATGAGACACCATTTTCACACATGGATTGACCACCACAGAGTCCAGACCTCAACTCCATTGAGGATCTTTGGGATGTGCTGGAGAAGGCTTTGTGCAGCAGTCAGACTCTACCATCATCAATGCAAGATCTTGGTGAAACATGAATGCAACACTGGATGGAAATAAATCTGGTGGTGCTGCAGAGGCTTATCGAAACAACGCCACGGAGAATGTGTGTCGTAATCAAAGCTGAAGGCGGTCCAACGAAATATTAGAGTGTGTGACTTTTTTTTTGGTGGCGACTTTTTTGAGGGCAGAATTTGGACACTCAAGAAAGGCTACGTTTAGCTGCTTCATTTAATTATGATTTCTTTAGCATTTCAAGTTACTATGATACCAAGTCTCCATCTGATAAGTACAAAAAGTGGGTTTCTGTTGAGGGTCGCTGTGTAGGGAGATAGTTTCTCTTCACAGGCTCGTCTTGTTCCAGAAACCAGATTAAAATATAAAAGGGATGAGTTTAAAACACTGTTTTAAGCAACAGCAGTGCTTTACACCCAGCCTTGTTTGTTAGACAAAAAGTGTTTACAATATATTAAAATCCAACCTTTTTCACCAAGTCCTGACTGTGAATGAGAAGAATTAAGATGTGTTGTTTCTTCTATCCATCAGATGAAAAGCCGTCTGGTGTGGAAAACACATTTTTACTGTGCACAGCCCCTGTCATCGATGAAGTTGGAAAGTAAGTGCTCCTATTTTTATTACTTCATCATTTATCGATATGATTCCTCACATTTCAAGTTCAGGGTCAAATATTCCTTACATAAAGTCAAAGAATCACATGGATGTGTTCACGTGTGGAAGAAACCTGCCATACGTTAACTGATTTTATGACCCTATCTTGGGCCGCATTCCTCTTTTCCTACACCCCAAGTCAGATATAGGGTCTTTGTAGCTGTGCCAGCGCGTGCACTGGTGATGAGCCACGAGTTAGACACCAGCGAATCAGGACTCTGCCCCTGCTGTTTAGAACATACATGTTAGAGGAATCTTTATGAAGCTTCAATAGTCCAAAATGTTTTCATGAAAAAAGATCAGACCAAGTAAAAGTGCTCATCTGGAAAGAGGGTTTCACTGAGAATAATCAAAGCACTACATCAGCTCAACGGTGAAACAGCCCTGAAACAGTCTCACATCATTAAAAGTTCCAGCCGCAGAAAGAGGTCTTCTCTGCCAAAATGGCTGCATGATCGCTGGAAAACCTGGTGGAGCATTTACCAGTTAAAGACCAAATCGTTACCCTCTGAAAACGGTGGAAACCATGGCAACCTAAAGCAGAAGGACGGTGCATTGACTTAAAACTAATTGAACTCATTAATGGAAATCTTTTGAAAAATCTTTCAATCATCTTCTTTTTGCCAAAGAAGCCCGCACACGCACACACTCACACACACGCGTGCATTTTAAAGCAAACGGGAGGATAATTATTAATTTTTCCACTCAAAATCTCAAATGTAGTATTTATTTTAAATGTTTTTGCTTGTGTTTGTTTGCAGAACATTTCAGGAAACATGACAGATTTCAAAGAAACACCCAATACTTTGTTGTACCTCCTTTTGCATTAAATACTTCTTCAGTGCACCCTGGCATGGTGTCAATGTGGCAGTTTTACATTTGGTGTGTTAGTCGCTCAAAGCCACCCCAATAACATACCAGTGGCGGATCTAGGATTTTTCTGACTATGGGATAATCAAGGGGCCACCATATTAGTCTTGCTTCCTTTCGCACAATCTTCAGTTTTAAAGTGCTTTAAAGTAATTTTACATGACATTTTTACTGCACATAAACAAAATACAAACACACACAGTCTTTAAGAAATGTCAGCGTTGTTTTTTTTTAAACCATAAATAGTATCAGTTTAAAGTCAGTCTGTGGGGGAAATAAACATCCAAATTCCTGTATGGCTCATTAGCACCACTGGTGTTTGGATTTAGAAATAAATCCACCTATAATTTGATCATCGACCAAAGGAGAGATTAGTCACGGGACAAGGGCACTTCAGGGGTCAAGGCCCCTGTTGTCCCACCCCTAGGACCGCCAATGCTTTGAACATTACACATTTTGTAACATGTTAGCTTCAAAGATCAAGATCGGTCTTTTTTTTTTTCAACACATTTGCAGTGGTCTCTAGTAAGAATGAATGCCTTGTGAGTCGATCTGTGAGGGATAAAGGTGCGGTTCACTGGAAAATCATTATGATTATTTCTGATTATAATTGGTGGGTTCTTCATGCAGGCTGAACATGAAAATGGTCTCCTACACCTATCTCCGGCTTTGGCTTCTGATAGAAAATAGACGGTAAAACTCTAGGGTTTGAAAAGCCTGACAGATCTACATCACACTGTCACCAAACTGTCACCCATCTTGACTCGTGACAGGGAAGGCTGTTGTTGGTTTAACGTCCAGGAAACGTCGCAGAGAACATCCAGTAGACTAGTAGAAGCTAACCATTAGCATTAGCAACGTTACCACATGGCGGAAGTTCCTCCAGGCTTGTGTTATTTGTGGAGATAAAACATCAACATTGCAACTCAGTGATGGAGTCGCATTGCTGTTATCCAATCAGGGGCAAGAATGTCCAAATATCCGGAAATGAGACTCCAAAACCTGCCGTCTGAAGCTCAGCTGTGATGTGGGTCACTACTCGTTCCTGAAAATGCTGCACTGGTATATTTTCCCCCTAGAACAACTTTCAAGGCCTACTAGAGGCCACTGCAAATGTATTGAATAAACATTTTATACACATCAAAGATAAAAGTAGTTTTATCTGAATCTTTTGCTGAGAATGCTCCTTTTCTTTATGACGATATGCTAGTAATGCTTGTAGAGGGGATAACTCAGCATTTTTCCTCAGAATAATGTGAGGGGAAGTTGCCTGACATGTCAGCCGGTTCAAGTTCACCACATAACAGTGACACATTTACAGTGAAACCAGAAGTGCTCTTTGTCAGCTGGCAGCTTGTTCTCTTTAAATACCAACCATAAGCCAACATCAACAACCCACAAACGAGGTCCTCATGGGAAGAGAGGGGCCGTGGTCCACAGAACACAAGGTGTTAAAGACTTTACCCACACCGAAGAGGAGGACTGAGTTTATTGATGATTCTGTGGCCGTCATTACTCACGTTTGCAGCTAGTGTTTGGGCTGGCAGAGGTGCAGAATGAGAGCAAACGACTCTGCAAACGGTGAAAGGTTTTAACAACCTGGACTTAATAAAGGCTTTAATTTTTATATGATAATTCACAAAGCATCTTTGATTCTCTTATTACATTTTCTCCTTTCTCTGGCTCCTTTTCTTTTACCGACCTCAGCTTCTCTTTTCTGCCCATCTGCTGTGTTGCTCTGAGTATCTGTCTTTTATTTCTCTGTTACTCACAAACTCCTTTTCATGGCCTGTCAGTCTTTCGTTCATGTCTTACAGCTGTTCTGTTGCCTGGATTTGCCTGATCAAAGCTGTGCAGCAGCTAGCCTGCTCTTTCATGTCTGTGACCATATGTGTTCATAGGGCACATAACTCCCAGCAGGGAGTAAAAAACAAGAAACCCTCAAGGTCACAGAAACCTGAAACCTGAACAAACCATACATATATATATATATATATATATATATATATATATATATATATATATATATATATATATATATACATATATATATATATATATATATGAGTAGCTGAATTGTTCTGAAGGAACAGGTTTGTCTGTGTCAGCGTTCACTTATTCAGAGGCATGAAGAGTCCTGTGGAACAATAAGGGAAGCTTGAGGCCTTGAGGAGGGAACATGATTGTTGACAACACGTTATCATGTGTTCAGAGCTGCAGAAAGACTCTGAGCTCCAGCTGATGGGACGCCGGATCCAGCAGATTAAAGGAAACACATGCAGACCCGTGTCTCCATGTCGACCAGATATTGAAGGGTCAAACTGTACTTAAAAACTGACCATTGCTGGACATTACAGAGGGGAGGTGAGACAACTGTAGGTGTGGTTAGAAACAGGGCTGGGATAGAAGCTTGTGTCGATGGTCTGCAGACAAAAAAGAGGACAAGAAGCATAAAATCTTGTTCCTGCTTCCAGGATTTTTCAGTTACACCTCTGGGTAGTTCTGGTCCTTTTCACTGGAAAACTTGTGTATTTGGTTCATTTGGGTTCAGCTTGGTCCATTACAAGGGAACTGGGGCTTGTAAATACAACACACACGAGTAGCTGAATCATCTTAGACAACACGTCCGCTGGTGAGTGGAAGATTTCAGCTGCTGCAAAGACTCAGATCAGATAAAAGAGGGCATGGCTGCAGATTAGAATGATTCATTTGAAAATCGTTCAAGCTAATTATCTTTATACATCTTTGGTGTGTTCTTACTGTGTTGAGTTTCAAATTCCATCTTTCAGGTCTTTTTAAAACACAGAAAAGGTTGATTTACCTGCAACGTTTCGTTTGCGGCTGCAAACATCATCAGGCTGATGCATCAGACTGGTGATGTTTGCAGCCGCAAACGAAACGTTGCAGGTAAATCAACCTTTTCTGTAATTATCTTTAATCTATAATATCTATAATAAACCAATCCAACATGTTAAACATAATAACCCTGTGTGTGTGTGTGTGTGTGTGTGTGTGTGTGTGTGTGTGTGTGTGTGTGTGTGTATGTGTGTGTGTGTGTGTGTGTGTGTGTGTGTGTGTGTGTGTGTGTGTGTGTGTGTGTGTGTGTGTGTGTGTGTGTGTGTCCTGTTGTTTCAGGGTGATTTATCTCCAAGTGAGCATGAACGATGGTCTCTCTTTCATCAGCAGCAATGTCCACATCACCACCACTGAATGTGTGAGTAGAAACGTTTCTCCCTTCTTTTCAAGAATCAGAATCCATTTCAGCCTTCTCCCGTTTCCTGGAAACCTGCTGTTTTACTCTGTTTGGTGACCCTTGTATCTCATTCCCCTTCTCAGGAGCCACGTTCCTATCAGAAAGTCTCCCACCGAGTTAACAGTCGGGAGTTCATGACCAGGAGATATCTCAGTGGTTCTTGTGCTTTCATTCCTGATTGTTAGTTTCTGTCTTCACTCAGAGACGGTTGCGTTTGTAGGAGCTTTGATGTGATTTAAAACACGTATTTCCTCATCATTTAAATCTACTAACCAAACTAAAATACATCTGGAGGAACATACAGCGAGGCGACCAATTAGAAATATTCTCTTTATGTTCAACATTCATGAAAAACCTCAAACTGCTGTGTTGTTGTTTGTGATGTATATAGTTCCTAACTGAACATATTACTGCAGTTAGCTGCTTCTTGTCACTAAATGTAATCATCTACAGTCAGAAGTCCTATAATGTCTTACAAGTGGCTCATCATCAAACACCAAACACTGCCAAAGACATGCTGGGACAGTCAGCTTTTATAAAACTACGTCTAAATAATTGTCATGTTCTGGCTGATTACCTCTAGTGTTACCCCCTTGTTGATAGGAAGATGTCAAAAGGATTCCTGAGTGTTGAGCCCACCACTGAGTTTAGACAGATCCCCTCCATGACAGAGAGGAAGGGACGGTCATCACCGCATGCTGTCTCCATCTGTTGTTGGTAAATGTGGACCACACTCAGCCCGGAGACCCCCTGCCTCATTTTGGAGAGAAAATTGTTAGCAGACGGAAATGTTACAGGATTTACATCAAAACAAATAAGAACCCGCAGCGCTGCAGGGATCAACCAAAGACATCAGGCTGCAGTGTTTTCTCTGTCTTCACTAAGATTGGGAAATGCTCGCTAGTTTGAGGGAAGTATCTCAAATCAAATCAAAATCAAATCAAAGCTTTATTTATAAAGCGCCTTCCGCAACCCTGTCAGGAAGCCCAAGGCGCTGAACAAGGTACAGTACAAAGTTAAAGAAAGTGAATAAATCAGAAAATAAAAGCATTTCAAATTACAGATTACAAATTCCAAAAAAAGGTGAAACATTATAGTAGAATACAAATGTGTAAAACAAGGGAAAAAGTGAACCAATGAAAACTGTGAGATAAAATCAACATAAAAGAGAGCCGAATCAAACATGTTCAGGAAACGCCAAGCGGAGGAGGTGGGTTTTTAGGCGACTCTTGAAGACTGGCAGAGATGGGGACAGCCTAACTGAGGGTGGCAACTGGTTCCAGAGTGACGGTGCTAGGACTGAGAAAGCCCGGTCCCCGCGAGTACGACACCTAGACCGAGGGACAGCGAGCAGGCCTTGGTCAGAGGAGCGCAGAGCGCGTGATGGGGAATGTCTGTTCAGGAGCGTGGCTAGATAGGGGGAGCACCACCCTGGAAGAAATGATAAACAAAGACGAGGAAAATATCTCATGAACCGCTTACTGAAACTCTCCAAGGAATCACTGGAAACTGAACGATTGACATCTAGCAGTACTCTAACGCTACTGGTTAGTTCTGACTGGCGCTCGGTTCATATTGCATGGAGCTTTACGGGACGGGGGCGGGCTTAGCAAAAATAAAATAAAAAAAAGACGTATTCCCTACATTTTATCACAGATGAGACAATCGCTTTTACGTACTTCTGAAAAATCATACATAATTCCTGAAAGGGAAAACTCCAGACAGCAGCTTTTAAACAAAGCAGCAGTGAAAAGTGTTTTAGAACTGAAAAGTTGAGGCTACTGTAAAAGTGGAGCAGCCCTGCTGTTCTGGCACTGATGGGTTCAAAGTGAAGTCCTTCCCAGTTTAGAGGTGGTTAATTACTGTGTTTGTGTCTTTAATTTTCCAGTTTGATGGGACCATACTCCTGATAACATTGCTGGTGTTGTTCCTTTTGCTGGTCCTTCTCTTCATGTGGTGGTTCTGGCCTCTGTGCTGCACTGTGGTAAGAAACTCGCAACAACTTTAGAGTGGAGGGTTCAAACTAGAGCTCCACACGTTCTGGTTTTGAGGGCAGAAACCAGTTTGTGGTCCAGCTCTGAGTCTCTGATCTGGAATAAAAAACTAATTAGTTCTTAACGATGGTGATTTCACCAACCAGGGAAATAAAAGCATCAGGGTTCTGAGTTTCAGGCAGTTAGGGCCAATCGTCATGATCATGTGATTCACCACAGATTTACAGAAGCATCATCTCAACTACATACTAGCATGAGCATGTTGAGGAAATGTTTGCTGAAGTGAAGATTGCTGAAGTTCTAAATAGTTTCAGTTTAGAGCAGGCATGGGGAACCCTGGTCCTTGGGGGCCGGTATCCTGCATGACTTTGCTCCAACACTTCTGATTCAGTAGTTGATTCACCTGTTCTGCAGCTCAGCAAGCTCTGTAGAAGCATGTTGATCATCTGCTGATTGAAATCAGGTGTGATGATGCAGGGTTGAAACTAAAATATGCTGGATAGCGGCCCTCGATGGACCAGGGTTCCCCACCCCTGGTTTAGAGGATGCGGGAATATTCTCTTCTTCTCACAACAGGAGTTGTTTAAAGCAAATTTCTGCTTGTAAACCAGCTCAAACCTACCAAACAGCGACTGGGGTGGTCGTTTATACACATTTTTACCAGCACGTCTCTTCCTTTTGTCTATGGCTGGAGAGGTCGATTGATGGTCCAATGTTGCAGCGTAGATCGCTTCCCCAGTCTGATTAACTATCTAACACAAAAGAGGTTGACAAAGCGTTAGCTTCATTCGCTATAAAAATGTAGACTTTCAGATAGCAGTCATTTATTTGTCATTACCTTAGCAACATAAATGCCAGAGGTGTGACCAGGTCACTGCTTTGCAAGTCACAAGTCTTTCCAATCAATTCTCAAGTCAAGTCCAAGTCAAAGACAACCAAGTCCAAGTCGAGTCCAAAGTCAATGATGTGGAAGTCCAAGTCAAGTTCAAGTCCTTAACTTTGAATTTTCAAGTCATAATCAAGTCATCTGTCCAACTTCAATTTAATAACAATGATAATAAATAAATTCCAGAAATAAAGCTTCTTAAAGCTTCATTTATTTGCTCAAACAAGCAGGAAGTGCAACTTCTGGGTTTGATTTTTGTCCATGTCGTGCCACTTTTGTGCTAAAACATAAAATATGCTCAAGTCATCACCAAGTCAACAGATGCAAGTCGATTCAAGTTGCAAGTCATTGGCATTCAAGTCCGAGTCAAGTCGTAAGTCTTTACAGATTTTATCAAGTCAAGTCAGAAGTCATTAAAATAATGACTTGAGTCTGACTCGAGTCCACGTCATGTGACTCAAGTCCACACCTCTGATAAATGCTACTAGTTAGCAAAAACTGTTAGCAACTGTCTGATGAAAATACTAACCCTAGCTGCAAGAAAGCTTGAGTTGTTCAGAAGTATTTTCTGCCATTCTGAGGTGTTTCTGTGTAGAAGTTTTAGGTAACGCCCATTTTAACTTTGTGGTTCGAGTTTTGAGCAGCCTCTGTCAGGGGACAACGATTATTTTGGGACTGATGAGCTAACGGCTAAAGATATTCTGTAACTTTTGTAAAGGGTTAAGACATGAAAACGTTAAAACTTTTATACAGAAACACATCTCAAGCACTACTCAGCTGAAAAGTTTGATCAGAGGTGCATACGAACATTTCGTAAGTATCTTCGTCAGAGTAAACTTATTTCTTGTTAGTGGTTAGTAGAGGTTCTTTGAGAAAGCATTTTTCACTTGTTCTTTTTCTTTTTTAAAGCAACGTCTGAGTGCTGAAGACAATCTGTACGGTTTTACTTTCACAGGCGGAGCAGTAAAGACTCAGCCTGATATCAACACTTTATTAGAAATATTTTGGGTTCTTTTTAATCACTCAAGGCTTTATTTATCTAGCGCATTCCTCGCCCATTACAGGAAGCCAAGGTGCTGAAGAACAAAATACAATCATGATAAAAGAAACTGAAGCATTGAACATAAAACAACTGAATTAAAAGCAAAAAAATCAAAACTACATAAAAGTAAGCCAACTTCAAGCATGTTCAGGAAATGCTAAACGGAAAAAATGGGTTTTCAGGTGACTCTTAAAGACCGGCAAAAAAGGTAGACTGCCTAATTGACTGTGGGAGCTGGTTCCAGAGTGACGGCGCTAGAAATAAAAAAGCCCGGTCTCCACGAGTCCGACGCCTAGTGCGAGAGACAACTAGCAGGCCCTGATCAGAGGAGCGCAGAGAGCGTGAGGGGACGTACCGTTCCAGGAGCACCGCTAATCCCAAAGGACACGGAGACAGAAATGAAAGAGAAAGAGGGGAGAGGAAAGGAAGAGGTGGGGGGGGGGGGGGGGGTCACAAAAATAAACAATAAAGGATGTACAAGAATCTGCTTCTAGATCTGCAGAGAGAGAGAGAGCGAGAGAGAGAGAGAGAGAGAGAGAGAGAGAGAGAGAGAGAGAGAGAGAGAGAAAACACACACAAAAAATTCTACAGAACTAAAATATCGCTGCAACAACTGCATGAGGATATACTATATACTGTAAGAATTGTTGCTGAGAAGCACACAATAAAATCTCATAGTGCATTTAGTGCCAACCACAGCCTGAAGTTATGTGTCAAAAATGTCCACGTCCATACTTGTGAGAGCACCTGTGTGCATACACACACTTGTTTATGTAAAGTTTCTCTACAGGAGTGCTCAATAGTGAGTGTGAGGGGCCACAGATCTGCCCCCAAAGACCCACGGCAGATGGAGGAGATCCGAGCCCCAGAGATCTCCCCCTGAGTGCGGAGACCCCAGGGAGACTGCCACCACTTTATTCTTTTTAAAATATGATCGTTCACAATGAGCTTCAGATGCAGGCTGAACATGAAAATGGTCTACACCTAATTCTCGCATAGCCGCTGACAGAAAAAAGACTTGTAGTCCTGCCGTTTTTCTCCCCCTCTCCTCCGACAAGCTCCTACCTCCTGAAACAGGAGCGCCAGAGCTGTTTTTCTACAGAGAACGACTCACAAGGCATTCATTCGTACTAGAGAGCCCTGCAGATGTATTGAAATAATGAGCTCAGGCCCACTTTCATAGTTACTCTGACAGGTGAAGATCTTGTCTCTAATTCATTAACAGGTGATCAAAGAGCCACCTCCCCCTCCCCCACCTGAACCGGTGAGCCAACACACACACAATCACACCTTTTCACAATTTAACATTAATTCCATTTCAAATGTAAACTAACGGAGTCTATTCTCCAGTCGATTACGTTCTGAAAACTGAGAGTTTGCGTCACAAAATTAAGAAAGGGGTCAAAATTTGTGTGTGGGTGTGTGTGGGGGGGGTGTTTAGGAGTCAGATGATGATGACGGGCTGCCAAAGAAAAAGTGGCCAACTGTGGATGCTTCGTATTATGGAGGAAGGGGAATAGGAGGAATCAAGAGAATGGAGGTGAGAAAATTACCCTAACTGATGAACAGACTGAAATCCACACATTTGAACTCCTGCGTCATCTGCCGTGTGCAGGTGCGTTGGGGGGGGAAGGGCTCGACCGAGGAGGGGGCTAAGCTGGAGAAGCCAAAGAATGCTGTGGTGAAGATGCCGGAACAGGAGTATGAACCCTACGAACCCAAACCCAAGAAACCTCACAGCAGGAGGCCTCCTCAAAACAGGAAGTGGTACACACCTATCCAGGTAAACAGCTACAAACATCCAAACTCACAGTTATTTTTAATCAGCAGCATTAAAACAAACAGGTGGAGCAGGTTTTCATGGATTAATGCCTTTTTTGGCCTTGATTTTGTGGAATTAGTTGTGTAGGCATCATGTCTGAAACACACAGCTCACTGACCTTTCACACAGAAACAGTAATTCACTTCCACCATAACGGTTTCATAGCTCTGGTTTATTGTTAGAAATATTCAGGGTTTCATCTTAATAAGCTGCAAACATGTTACAAGTTTTCTTCCTGATTAATCCCCAATCTTTCATAAAAGTAGGAAGACGTGAGCAGAAACAGCTGCTGATCTAGATTCTTGGCCTCGACTGAAAAACATTTGTGTCGATGCAACGAAACCAGAGCTATCTGTTTGGTGAGGAGACAGATCCCAGTTTGGAAACCTTTCCTCTCCTATCCTGTTCAGGGTAAACTGGATGCCATCTGGGCTCTGTTTCGCCGTGGGTATGACCAGGTTTCTCTGATGAGACCCCAGCCTGGTGACCACGTAAGTTACTCTTATTTATCTTCCTCCTCCTGTCTTCTGTAGTAGTTGCTACTCTGGCTGCTGGCCATGAAGGACTTCCAGTGGATGGCAGGATTCAGTTAGTCAGAAGTCTCTGCGATCATGATCTGCTTCCACAGCCCTGTTTTCATCTTTAGAAATCCATCTAAGGATAGGTCACATGTTCACAAGGACTGTTTTTCATCTATTCATCTGAGAATACTTGTAAGGGATTGGTCTTTCTTTTCAAAAACAGGTATTATGTTCTGGGAAACTGGCATTATGATTGATCATCTCTACGTTGTGCTGTTTCTCGTTAGTAAACTAAGCAAGAAACCACAAGATGGCCTTAAATAAGTGACTGATGAAGTGCTGAGCTGAAAAATGACATAATCTTGGGTTTTTTTATTGGCTGCTGGGAAGTAAAGCCATGAAAAACACACTGCTGGACTTCTCGAACGATACTGGGAGTAAATAAGTCATTATTTCACTTGTATTGATGTACATGTACACTTAACAAAAATATAAACGCAACACCTTTGTTTCTGCTCCGATTTTTCATGAGATGGACTTAAAGATCTAAAATTCATTCCAGATACACAATATTACCATTTCTCTCAAACATTGTTCACAAATCAGTCTAAATGTGTGATAGTGAGGACTTCTGCTTTGCTGAGATAATCCATCCCACCTCACAGGTGTGCCACATCAAGATGCTGATCTGAAACCATGAGTAGTGCACAGGTGTACCTTATACTGCCCACAATAAAAGGCCACCCTGGAATGTGCAGTTTTGTCTCACAGCAAAATGCCACAGATGCCACAAGCATTTAGGGAGCGTGCAGTTGGCATGCTGACAGCAGGAATGTCAACCAGATGTGTTGCTCGTGCATTGAATGTTCATTTCTCCACCATAAGCCGTCTCCAAAGGCGTTTCAGAGAATATGGCAGTACATCCAACCGGCCGCACAACCGCAGATGACGTGTAACCACACCAGCCCAGGACCTCCACATCCAGCAGATTCACCTCCAAGATTGTCTGAGACCAGCCACTCAGACAGCTGCTGAAACAATTGGTTTGCATAACCAAACAATTTCTGCACAAACCGTCAGAAATCGTCTCTGGGAAGCTCAACTGCATGCTCGTCGTCCTCATTGGGGTCTTCACCGTAACAGACTTGAGTGGGCAAATGCTCACATTCGATGGCATCTGGCACGTTGAAGAGGTGTTCTCTTCATGGATGAATCTCGGTTTACATTGTTCAGGGCAGATGGCAGACAGGGTGTGTGGCATCGTGTGGGTGAGCGCTTTGCCGACGTCAATGTTGTGGATCAAGTGGCCCATGGTGGTGGTGGGGTTATGGTATGGGCAGGCATTTGTTATGGACGAAGAACACAGGTGCATTTTATTGATGGCATTTTGAATGCACAGAGATACCGTGATGAGATCCTGAGGCCCATTGTTGTGCCGTACATCCATGTACATCACCTCATGTTTCAGCAAGATAATGCACGGCCCCATGTTGCAAGGATCTGTACATAATTCTTGGAAGCTGAAAATGTCCCAGTTCTTGCATGGCCAGCACACTCAACGGACATGTCACCCGTTGAGCATGTTTGAGATGTTCTTGACCGGCATATACGACAGTGTGTACCAGTTCCCACTAATATCCAACAACGCCGCAGAGCCATTGAAGAGGAGTGGACCAACATTCCTCAGGCCACAATTGACAATCTGATAAACTCTATGCGAAGAAGATGTGTTGCACTGCATGAGGCAAATGGTGGTCACACCAGATACTGACCGGTTTTGAGTCCCCAGACCCCCAATAAAGCAAAAAAACTGCACATTCCAAGGTGGACTTTTATTGTGGGCAGTATAAGGTACACCTGTGCACTACTCATGATGTCAGATCAGCATCTTGATGTGGCACATCTGTGAGGTGGGATGGATTATCTCAGCAAAGCACAGGTGCTCACTATCGCACATTTAGACTGATTTGTGAACCATGTTTGGGAGAAATGGTAATATTGTGTATCTGGAATGAATTTTAGATCTTTAAGTCCATTTCGTGAAAAATCGGAGCAGAAACAAAGGTGTTGTGTTTATATTTTTGTTAAGTGTATATTAAATGGCATTGATGCAAGTCTTATTTTGAAAATTACCAGAGGTTTTACACTGAGACCGTGTGTAATTTCCTGTCTAGCCCTATCTTGTCTGTAGAAATGTTCGTGTCCCAAAAGCGACTCGTTGCAAAAATAGAACCTGACCCTACCTTTAGCGTTGCGCCGCTACTGGGACGCCTGAGAATTTCTGCAATGCGGCTGGTTTGAATCACCCCAGAGACTGTAATGGATTCAATTTGAAGCAGTGATGTTCCACGCCGCTGACGCTCCCAGAACGGGGAAAAACATCGGGACTTTGGTAACAGTTTACAATAAGGGTCCTTTTATTAACATTACTTAGTGCATTAGTAAGCAATAATAAGCTATTATACAATAATAAAGTGTTAACAACTGCTTAACTTAAAGCTTAAAGTTATGTAACGCATTACTAAGCAGAACCCAAACCCCACCTTTGTTCTACAGTTCATACTTAACAATACAGGACAGTTCATACTTAACAATAATGGTAACATTAATAAAGGGACTTTTTGATTATTAATGCTTAATAATGCACTAAATAACATTAATAAAGGGACCCTTATTGTAAAGTGTTACCAGGACTTTTTCTGAATTCACAAAGATATTTTAAACCCTTCAGCCTGAAGCCAAGGCTTGTAAAACACACGTAACTAGACTGAACGTATGAGCTGGCTTATTGAGCAGTACACTGAGGGGAAATCCAATCCTAAACTAGGAATTAGCGCTTTCTTACTGAAGCTTTAGCAAAGTATATCTAGATCCTTTGGAGTTCATGTTGTAGTTTATAATAATCCGCTTCAGGGTTAGAAAAGCCAGAGTTTTTGTACCCGGGTTAAAAGGAAACTGTGATGTCGTTAGTGACGATTACTCACTGGAAATGACCTGTTAGCTTGTACCTGTTTCTGGCTGGCTGTCGGGCCGGTTCCTGTCTCACAGCTGCTTCTCATTAAACACCAGATCCACAGCTCTCATGCTTGTAGCTTACTGGCAGGGTTTTAACTTGTCTCTTGTTCTAACAGATGAACCCCACGTTTCAGATCTAATGCTCAAGAGTCTACAGTCTGTAAGCAAAAAGATGAGTTTCATTATCAGATCACCTGAGTAAGTATAAATTGTAGTTATCAAATGAGGTGTATTAAGACATAGAAGCTATCCTAACCCATATGGTCCTTAGTGATTATCCTCCATAATAAACCCTGAGTTAGCGCCTAAACCAGATCATTCAGAATGAACACCCAGACCTGATTATACCACTTCAAAAGAAACTTGTCTGAAATGCAGGAACCCAAAACAGCATCTAGAGCTCTACAGCCCTCACTTGGTTACGGCTCAAATCAGATGGGGTCTGCACATTGGATCACGTATGGGACTGTGTCATCAGTGAGGAGAGCGCCCACTGATTAAACGGAGAAGGAAGTGACGCCGCCAACAGCGGCAAAGCTCTAAGGACGGCTACAGTGTTAGCCGAAGCATCAGCAAAAAAAGCAAAAACAACTCTTGCGTTGTGTTAAAAAAAGAACCAAGTAATGCAATAACTAATAGTCCAAGAGGTAGATCTGAGGACAAAACATCTGCTGAAGAAAAGCAACACAAAGATCTGTCATTTAGCAGAAATGATATATTTTTATGATTTTTAAGGCTACTAGAACATTAAAAAGTAGTTATTTCCCACGATCTATAGGCACTGCCTTTATGACCGAACAGTCAATGACTGGAAGGTGTGTGTCCCGTTCCATCTGGAGTCAAACTAACAGTAAAACAATGGTCAGACATGGTAGTGGTAGTGTGATGATCTGGGCTGCTCTGCTGCTTCAGGACCTGGACCACTCACTCTAACTGATGGAGGATTCTGCTGTCCTACAGAACATCCTGAGGCAGAATGTTTGACCTTTGACCTTAAATAGGCCGTTCATGCTGGAAACCCCTCCTATGTAGCTGAAAAAAGATCATTTTTAAAGCAGAGTGGGACAGACTTCCTCCACAGTGATGTCAGAAACTATTAGTCATCACAAACAGTTGTTACAGCCAGTTATTAGGTTTAGGGGTTAGTTACCTTCTCACTTAGACAATAAAAGTAATAAGAAATTAGTTTCATGTGTCTACCTTTCAAAAAGTTGTTAGCCATTATGAGATTGTGTGTCACCAAACCACACGTCTGACATCACAGTATGAAGCAAAACTGTTTCCTTGTGGGTTTTTTTTTTTAATGCTTTCATTCAAACACAAACCTCTCTAGGGAGATCGTTAGCTGGCAGAAGGAGATGAGGTCATACCTAGCAGGGTCTGTCTCCACCAACCATGTCTCATTCTCAAGACATGGATTTGCCCAGGCCCAGACAACTTTACGACTTTGGGAAGACTGCAGTCAGTGGAGGATGTCAGTGAGAAGAAACCAGCAAATGTGGCTTTCTGTAATCCAGAAACAACTTTCAGACGTTTAAACCAGAGCCTTGAAATGAAGCCGCAGGGCTGAAGAGATACATGTGTCCCAAATCTGCATCTAATCTGGAAAGAAAAATATATCAAGAATCTAAAGATACGTTTCTGAACGGATCAAACCAACAGGTCTCACAACAGCCTGGTTAAAGAAAAAGATCAAAACCTTTAGATGTGAAATCACAAACCCACTATAAACTAAACATCCTAAATTATTTATATTGTGTTCTCAAGCTGCAACAATAGATCTGAGATGATCCTCCATTTCTGAATACCAAACCAAACTGAAGACGTTGAATGCTGCAGGTGAAAAACTTTAAATCCAGTTCCTTCTAAGCATCTTCACTCCATAGAGAGAACTTGAACCTTCCATAGAGGAGATCCAGTGATTAGTGGAAAACTGCATCCCTGCATAGCTTATTTGATTTGGTCATATCAGCATCCTAACGAAGTCTGCTGTCAGGTCAAGAGGGCATTCTGCAGTTTTACAAACACAATATGAACCATTTGCCGAAGCCTGAATCATCAACATCAGTAAACACCTGTAACAATTTGGCCCAACAGTCTGAGGCAGTGAAAAAGTACTGGGGTGGGAAATGTTTCCCATTTTAGGGTTAGAGTTAGGCTGATTGGCTGTTTAGCTGCAGTTCAGGAGCACTTTACCTCTAAGTCAACCTGCTGCTGTAGTGCCTCTTAGCCACCACATTAGGAAGTGACAGAAGGTTGCTTTGTGGTTCTAAGACCTGGAAAGGGACAGCAGATGTTCTGTGTAACCGTCCAGCAGAACAAGATGCTAAGGAAACATCTTATACTCCCTTTGGTGCCACTAGTTCAGCAGAAGCTCAGGAGGTGGAGCGGGTTGTTCAGTAATCACAGGGTTGTGGGATCAACCCCAGCTCCTAGCAGAGAATGCTGTTGTTGTGCCCTTGTGCAAGACACTCGACCCACCTCACATGCTGGTGGTGCCTGGGCTCGGCAGCCTCGGCTGTGTCAGTGTGACCCAGGGCAGCTGTGGCTACAATGCAGCTCATCACCATCAACGTGTGCGTGTGTGTGTGTGTGTGTGTGTGTGTGTGTGTGTGTGTGTGTGTGTGTGTGTGTGTGTGTGTGTGTGTGTGTGTGTGTGTGTGTGTGTGTGTGTGTGTGTGTGTGTGTGTGTGTGTGTGTGTGAGTGTGTGTGTGTGTGTGTGTGTGTGTGTAACTGTGGGGTAAAGCGCTTTGGAGTCCTCTGGCTCTGAAAGGTGCTGTAAGTACGGGTCATTATCATCTATCACTAAAGGCTGATGATGGCAGCGATGAAGTTGGCCACCGCTAAACCCAAGGTGACCAAGCTTGACGTGCTCTACCTTTATTACACCAGATTTCTCTCTGTCCCTGCAGGGTCGATGCATCAACTTCACAAGAATAAAAGATGAGTCAGCAACAACCAAGCCTCCACCTCGCAGCCCCAACAACGCTCCTTCACCACCAGCCCCTGACTACCATCCCACGTCCTTAACTCTTCCTCCCAGGTCACCCCCAATGGGCCAACTCCCACCAGGACCACCACCATCCCGTACACCCCCTGGACTTACCTGTCCTCCGCCATCTCGTCCTCCACCCACCCTTCAACTCTGATCCAAAAGACTAGCCCTCTCCCTCCGTCCCAGTGCGCCCACTCTCATATCACATTGATATTACCCACCCTCCTCCCTACTTGACCAGTTTGATTCTGAAGGCTGTGGTCATAAGATGTTGTCTGCCACCACATGCAGATGTTTGAATATCTCCTTGTTAAATGTAACAGAACTTTGTGAGTTCTGTTATTGTGCATATCTAAACGTAAACAGCAAATCCTCAAAAATCAGAATTTTTTTTAAAGCATCTGTAGTTTAACCTGGTAACAAACTCCAACAGACTGGGTTAGTCTGACTCTGTAAATGCTGCTTTTGTTTTTGTCATAACTCAGAGGGTTGTTGCTGGACAGCAACGCATGTATGAAACTACTAAGCTAGGTCATTGTTACTGGCGTGAGAAGAGTAGGTTTTGCTGTGTTAAACATCAGAATGGCTTTGATTAATGTTCTGTTGGTAGAAACATACATTTATTCTTTACTTGGTGCTGAGCAGCAAATTGAACCAATAAATCTCAATTAATAATTACAACAATAATAATGCAGTTATATTAGAGGGTTTGATGTGTGGAGCATTGGGAGCAGAGTCAAATGGAGGACATTTTTACTGGTGTGATGTTTTTAATGGGTTTCTGGATGTTTTTTCTTTTTGCCTTTGCTTGTAGTTAAATTTTGGCCCTGTCACCACTACTTTGTTTTTTATACAAATATTTGTTTCTTATTTTAAAAGTGTGGATCACTCGTTTTACGATACATTTGCAGTGTCTTTAGTAGGGGCAAATGCCTTGTAAGTCGTACTCTGGGGAAACAAAGCTCTGGTGCACCAGTTTCAGGAACTAGCAGATTGCCAGATCAGAGCTGAGCTTCAGACGACAGGATTTGGAGTCTTATTTCCTGATATTTGGACATCTTTCCTCTGATTGGATAACGGCAACACAACTCTCCCACTGACTCCATTTGTTTTGCAACATTGACGTTTTATATCCACTAATAACACAAGCCTGGAGGAGTTCTGCTGTGTGGTGGAGTTGTTAATGCTAACAGTTAGCTTCTACTAGCTGAGATGTTCTCTGCTGTTTCCTGGGTGCTAAACCAACAACAACCTTCTTTGTTGTGAGTCAAGATGGGTGAGTCCATGAATGTTAAGTGACAGTGTGACGTAGTTCTAACAGGATGTTCTAATCCTAGAGTTTTACTGTCTATTTTCTATCAGAAGCTAATGCAGGAGATAGGTGTAGGAGACTTTTTCATGTTCCGTCTGCATGAAATCTCTGAGTGACTGATTATAATCAGAAATATTTTAAAAATTGGTTTTCAGTGAACCACACTTTTAAATAAAAAAGATCCATCCACATATTTCTAACACGGATGCTGAAATTCTCAATGAAAGAGGATAATTAGCTTGGATAAATATTTACATCTTGTGTTCAGCCATCTTCTAATGCATATCTGGAACAGCACAATCTGACAAAGAGCAGGATCTTCTTCTCCTGCTCCTCTGGGGGACTTCCTCTGGCCGGCAATGAGGTATAATCTCTTCAGTGAGTCTTGGCTCTGCAACATGATGCATCGTGTCTCTCTTAGAAGGTGTTCAGAAGATATACTAACCAAACCACCTGAACTGGTTCCATGTTTTGAGAAAATACTCTAGTCTGAGCCCCTTCCCCACTTCTAGAAGGGTTGTCCAGACCGAGAGTGAAGAAAACGCTTTTCAGATGTTTGTACTCACAATCTAATTCTGTTGGCCCTCACAGATCATAGGTAAGGGCTGGAGTGTAAGGCGATTAGTTCATTGAGGGCTTTGTCCTTTGGTTTAGCTCCTCTTTTCATGACAGACCTGTACTGCAACAACATCCAGATAAATGCTGGCAGGGCCTTAAATTACAGTAGTACAGCAGGGAGAAGAAGTATTTGACTCATCTGGATTTTTATCACTAAGGGTATTTCTAAGTGGACAATTGACTAAATTTACACCAGATGTTGTCATCAAGCCAAAAATTAAATTCATACAAAGACATCAGAGCATTTAAGTACACAAGTTGAGTCATTATAGTGAAATGACACAGGCATTAAGTACTGAACACACTTTATTAAATACTTTGTAGAAAAGCCTTTGTTGGTGATTACGGCTTCTACACGCCTCTTGTGAGGAGAAACCAGTCATCCGCGTTGCTCAGGACTGATTCTGGACCATTCTTCCACACAAACGCTCTTTAAATCTTTAAAGTTTCTTGGGCCTCTTTTATAAACGTTGATCTTCAGTTCTCCATAGATTTCTATGGGATTTAGGTCAGGTGACTGACTGGGCCATTCAAGCAACTTGATTTTTTTCTTGATTTCTTTCTTTTTGTTTCCTTGGTCTTGTGTTTGGGATCATTGTCTTGCTGAAATGTCTACTCTCTCTTCATTTTCATCTTCCTGGTAGATGGCAGCAGATTCTTATCCAGAAAGTCCCGGTACATTTCTGTTCATCCTGCCTTCAATAATATGAAGTCTGCCAGGACCCCTTGGTGAAAAGCACCCCCACACCATGATGCTTCCACCCCCAAACGTAACTGTTGGTATGGAGTTATTGGGGTGGTGGGCAGTGTTGTGTGTAGGATACAGCCAAAACGGTCCTTTTTGGTTTCATCTGACCATACTATAGTCTCCCAGTAATCCACAGGCTACTCCAAATGCTGTTTTACGAACTGTAAACAAGCCTCAACATGCTTTTTGTTCAATAATGGAGTCTTGTGTAGTGAGTGTGCATGGATGCCATGGCGGTTCAGAGCATTGCTTAGAGTTTGCTTTAACCCATCATGAAGTATTTTCTGTATGCTTCCTGGGTAACGAGAAGCCTTTATAAGACATCAATTAGGACTAAAGCAGCTGATATCAGTTACTACTGATAGGGGCGGGGTTTCTCTCTCAATACTGGCAGATTTCAGGTGATCTCCTGGTTTTCTCTTTTGCACTTTGTTATCTTCATACGTTTAATATTTTTCCCTGTGTCTTTTCACTTTATTACAAATAAGTCAATGAATGGACTTAAATGTTTAGATGTATTTGCATAAATTAAATATCTAGGTTGATATTGACATGTGGTGGACATTTTGTCAATGGCTCACTAAACCCTTACTGATGAAAATGCTGATGAGTCAAATATTTATTCTCCCCGCTGTGTGTAATGTTTTTGGGGGGGGGGGGGGGGGGTTGTATCTGCAAACATAGATTGTTGAGCATCTAATGTGTGTATTGAGTTGTACTTTTATTTTTAGAAACTGGAGGTTGAAACTCATATTTTCTAGCATCCAGGAATCAGGTTCAAGTCTCATGTTTTACTTTTTACACAATCCTGATACTGTCTTTTGGAGACCTTGTGTGTATGTCAGGATTTCCGCAATATCACAAACCACATTGCAACTGCAGGGCAGTTCTAAGAGTATATAATTTATTGTACTCGCCAATGGAATAAAGGAGAGTACCTGAGAATCGACAAGGTGTTCACGCACTGATGTGAACGCTGTGTGCAGAGTGTAGACTCTACAGCTAAACATGTAAAAACCATAGAAGTCCTACCAGCATAACTGCTCGTCTCAGCTACACTGTAAAAACCATGCAGCCAGTTAGAATTCACTTTGTAAGAATACAAATAAAATGTTGATTAAAATGTGGTGAAATGCTGGTATTGTTCATATACTGAGTGCCTTCTTAATGTTTTTTTTCTACACTTAAAGGGTGCAGTTTTGCATCACATGCTTTTTTATTTTAAGTAATAATTGTTTTTAACTCATTTGCTGCCAGCGTTTCTCACCATTTTTACTGTTTTTTAAGAGTCACAGAATGTTGCGCGCTAGGATGATGTCCATGCCAAAACTACCAAAACAAAGGGTAGACTCACCTCTTACATCAGGAAGAATCCGCACGTTTCGAGCGTTATCCGTTCTTTCATAATCCGTTGTTGAATTGCAGAGGTGGAAAGTAACGAATTACATTTACTCACTTTACTGTAATTGAGTAGCTTTTTTGTATGTTTATACTTTTTAATTCGTTTTTAAAATCTGTACTTTTACTTTTACTTGAGTAAGTTTTTTAAAAAGAATTGTAATTCGCTACATTTTAAATCATATCCGTTACTGAGTAAAAATAAATTATAGGCTTAATGAATTAAAAATATTACGTGAAGCAGCGTCGAAATGGAAAGAGACACCTGCACGAGCGCCACGTCTAAACCGGGGGGGGTGTACACTTTTGCTCAAAGACATCAGTTCAGTCGATCAACTCGCTGTTTGCCTCCTCTCTCCCTCCTCTCCTGTGGGTTGGAACCTGCACCTTCGCGCACCAGTGTGACGTCATCAGAATTCTGCTCGGTTCGGTAGCGAGACTCGGTTCCGTGTTTGAAATGTGTTTCCCTACCGCTCCGCACGGCAGCGGCAAAATACTGTTTAGCGCTCATAACAGGCGGTTTCTCAGCGCTTTGCTCATAAAACAGAAGACCTGCAGGCCTCTGTGAGTTAAAACATCCTGATGCTGTTCAGGTGTAAACATTGTGCTCCATCCCTGTGTTTGAACTCAGAAGATGCTCCTTGATGCCACAGATGTGATGATTTAGCTTGTTTCTTTATTTTACTCCAGAATAAGAGATTCAATTATTACTAAAGCAATTCAATGTAGTTAAATTAGTCATTCACATTATTCTAGCATGCTGCAGTGTGTGTGTGTGTGTGTGTGTGTGTGTGTGTGTGTGTGTGTGTGTGTGTGTGTGTGTGTGTGTGTGTGTGTTACACATATAGGACTGTATGAGACAGCATGGTTTCATCAAATCCATGCATCTTATATCTTGGCTGCAGTGATGGCTCAGGAAAATAACATTTCATACATAATGACGTCTTAATAGTGTTTATGATAATGTTTCATCTTATCTTTGGTCTGGGAGGTGTAACTTATCATGATACAAGCCTTTTAAAACATGTTAAAGTGTTACAAGAGGAGATAAATGCATGAATTCAAAGTTCATGTTTGGAAACCAACCTTCACAGTTTGGAGGCTCACGCTGGTGAGGAGACACCGTTAGTTCTAGTAACACCTGGGCTCCCAAGACCTGTTCTGACAGGATGGACGTTGCGGGACCCTTAAGGCTTCCAGTTGGATGATTGGAGGATTATTTAGGAAGATTGGAATGAACAAACTGATTTCAGTGGTGAAGGGTTAAATGAGTGAGTGAACCCACAACCAAGGATGAACTCTGCTAACTTTAAAAATCAGCTGCTCTAAATAAGCATGAATGTCAGAGAGGAGCTCTAGGATGGACATGGATAAAGGAACTGTAATGTAGAGGTAAAGTAAGGCAGGGCCAACGTTAGCAGCTGTCATACGGTCCATCTGAAATGTTTGACTGCATTTGGCTTGTTATGTGACAGGTTAGAGCACAGTCTCATGTTAGAGTTTTGTCATGAGGACATTGAGATACCTCACATGCTGATGGCATCTAAAAAAATTACTTTTTCTCAAAATAAAGAATAATTTGAATCACAATTGAAACTTACCATCCTAAAAAAACCTTGTCCAATCAATGTGCACGTCCTGTTCTCACTGATTGGATAGAAATCCCTCCTTCAAGCCGTGCGTGTTTGAGTGTGTGTGTGCGCGCACACACACAAGCGAATTGTGAACTGGCATTGTGATTTAGCACTACTTAGATGTAGCCATCCTTACGCTGACAAAAATGTAACTAAGTAACTTTTACTTTGAGTACATTTTGTTTACGATACTTTTTACTTTTACTTGAGTAAAAATTTAGGCAAGTACTTTTACTTGTAATTGAGTAAAAAATTATCAAAGTATTGGTACTCGTAATTAAGTAGGAAATTTTAGTACTCTTTCCACCTCTGTTGAATTGTGATCGGCAGAAGCTTTTCCGGTTCGCGCCTCACTTTTTTTGCAGCAGCGGCCCAAAACGATCTCCTAACACATGGATTTTCTGCTTCCTGATCACGTGACGTGTGACGTACGCGGATGAAGATCGGCTTTAGAGCTGAGATATTTGTTTTCACTGTGCGGGGGCTCGTTCCGATGCCCACACAGTAAAAAAAATGCAAATGACGACTTTAGTCGTCATTGGCAGTGAATGAGTTAAAGACACTGAAGGAAACAAACGTCCTTTGTGTTTATTTGTAATTCTGAGGTAAGTTTTAACATGAACCGAATTAATGGCAATACTAAAGCAAATTTCTTTTAAAAATGGTTTGGAACTTTCTATTGTTGGCTGACATGACTTTGGTTTATTTTTTTTATTTTTTATTTTTTTAGTTATTGTTTTGTTTTGGTTAAACAACATCAATAAAGATAGATCCCTAAGCTTCTCCTGCAGTAACTGGAGTGTTTTTGTTTTGATTGCTTTGATTTAAGGAAGAACAAAACTGACACACGACATCAGCAGGACCGAAGTTAAGAAGTACCAGTGTTCTGGCATTGAGCAGGAGGGCGCTCTAGTAGTAAAAGGGCAGCAATACAGAGGTCAGCAATATTCAGCCTTTTAAAAAAATAAGGTTGCCATTGAGCCTTTTTAATGATTCTGTTTGTGTTTGTGACCCTAGTATTTAGTTTATTCCACTGGCTCTACGGCTCTGCCTGCATAGGTGAGGGTAGAGGGGTGTGAGCTCTCTTTAAAAGGTCCACTACCATCTTTTCCGTCATTGCTACAACAAGGCTGTGGTTGTTGTGTTGCACAAATCATCAATTTCTTTCCATAGCCATTATTGTTAAAGAGGAGACCAACAGCAATGTCAACAAACTTTAGTATGAAAGCCAGAATTCCTTTGCTGAGCTTTTATATAATGGAGAGGACTAAGGATAAGTCCCTGTGGAGCACCAGTGTGATCTGCAATGGTGTAATGGTCAACAACTTTGTTGACATTGTTTGTCTAAGAAAACAATGCCTAAATAAAACAATGGTCTTATGACAGTGACTATATAAAGGCAAGGCAAGGCAGTTTTATTAATGCAGCACATTTCATAAACAGAGGCAATTCGGTGTGCTTTCCACAGGAGAATGTTGGCACTCGGTGTGTATGAAGTAAATGTACAAAATGTAAAAAGCTAGTGTACTTCAGCCTTTATGCAGCTACAGAGACAAATATGCAGCACCTATTGACCACCATTTACATACTCAACTCAACATCCCTGTTTTGGAAGAGTCTGAGCTTTCAAGTGACATTTCCCAAATGCACCAGTTTCCATTGTTTTGTTATTATGAGCTACATTTTTGACAAGGACAACCTTGGTCAATATAGTTCACTCAGGTGTGTCCAGGTAGGTCCCTCCTGCTCCAAGGATGTCACTCTACCATCAAACCAGGGGGTTCTTTTCTTAGCTTAGAGCATATAAAACACACGTGCTTGGAGAGGATTCAGTCTTCTCCTGTGGTTGGTAATGAATTTGATACAGCTAGAATAGCCATCATGAGTAGTTCCAGCAAAATAATTAGTGTGGAGTCTGCATTTTCTGCATGAAGGGCATGAGAGGATGTGGGATTATGAAAGAAGCTGGCTGAATCAGAAAAAAGTGGAGACAAGAATGGAGAAAATGAGGCAGTCTGTTCTTAAGCAGACACCAGGGAGTGAGCTTACGAAAGCAGAAATACAGGAATAACAGCAGCTGGGCCTCTCCCTCAGCACCCTCTCCTCAACCAACCTCTGTTCATCTGTTGGCTCAGCTACAATTTCAATGAAATGTTTAGATAGTGGACTTCATTTAACATTAACCTTCACAATTCTTCAAATCAACATAGTTCAGATAAAGCAGGCCTGTCATAGGTATTTATAGAGAAGGTTAAAGGGGTGGTTTACTCATTTATTTAATACATTTGCAGTGTTCTCAAGTGTAAATGAATGCCTTAGGAGTCATTTTTAAAAAGCTATGATGCTCCTGTTCTGAGATGCAGAAGCTTGCTTGCTCAGAGGTGGGCTGAAAACAGCAGGATTACTCATTATTAATGATATGCACACTCTTCACTTCTGATTGGCTAACAGAACGCATTCAGCCATGTTGCTACGTTTCTATAACCAAGTCACTCTCCGGTCTCTCTCCTCACTGCAAAAAAAAATAATACAAAATTTTAAAGCCTTCCTGTGGGTGGGCACAAGCTGAGAAGGGAGAGGCCATGCAAATTCGCAGTGAGACATAGATATGTGAGGATTTTC